TTATACTTTTGAATGGATTGAGTTGGATTAAGATTTTTCAAAACGTCATAATTAAATTAGGTTATAAAAATATCAAAAACCATCCAACCCAATTAATATAGACGCCTAATAGATACCAGCAGCGTAATTCACTTGAGACAAAGAAAAATCATAATTAAAAAGGTTTGGTGGGTCGGAAACCGAACACGTGAAACAAGTCCACGTTTTCACAGAGAAAACATGGATCACGAGGTTTGAATAGTAAAATAATAAATAAATTTACAAAAAAAAAAAAAAAAAAAAAAAAAGAGTTTTTCTACTTCAATTAAATCTAAATATAAAAAAATATTTTCCATATTTAGATAAGAGAGAATAAATTGCCCAAAGTAGATTTTGTGAAAAGAAAGTATCCATTAACATTTTACTTTTTCAACGAATAAAAAATAAAAATATATATATTCGTGAAAAACATTCCCTTCATTTTTATATTTGGTTGCTATTAATGTTATATAGAATAATAGTTGAATTTCTTTGTTCATTATTTAACATTTTTGAAATAAGTTATAGAAAAACTATTAAAATCACTCAAATTTTATCAGCTAAGCTAACCTTTGAGAGTTAACAAAAACATGCTTATTATTCAATATATAGATCTAGTCAGAAAAGTATCAGATCATCAAGTCCAATTACAGTATAGTCATGGACCAACTTATATGACCAATTGAGCTTTTTGGTCTGAGGAATGATCCTATAATGATTGGTTTGGTTAACACTTGAAAATAATAAGGGTTAATTTTCGACAACCAACTAAGACATTCTTGTAAGCATGGGGGAAAGGGTGAAAATCATGACAACGGATTGATTGAATGATCAATGTCATATACGTGTGAATTTTAGTTATAGACCCGAGGTGCTTAGTGCATACATAAGTTGTCTTTTTATGAAGGTTGTAAGTGCACGAATCTTGTAGAAAAAAATGTTTGATGGGTTATTCAATCGGTAAGAAGTGATAGGTTGGTATCTGACATGAGATAAAACACGTATTCATCTTCGACTGAAATGATTTGTTTCGTCCAAACATTATGGTCCACACTCATATAAGTCAATATCGATCTCTCTATTTTTATATTTTTAGGCAAAATTTTGAAAATGGAACAACCCAGAAGGTTGTTTTATTAGCAATATGCATTTTTTGAATAATATTTATGAATAAAAGTTTGATTCACCATATATTAACAAAAAAATCGGTTAAATCTAGAGATGCAAATTTTATCTGTAGGGGCGGGTTCCGGGCAAGGATGGAGATTTATTTTCAAACCCGAAGCAGGGTCGGGGATGGCATTACCCGTTCCTAATTCGAACCCGATTAATTTTTTATTTTTATTTAATATATGTATACAGTGTGTGTATAAATAAATACATATGTATATATGGGGAGACATTCTTTTAAAAACTCATGAAATTATGATAACCTTGAGAACTTGTGCATCATGTGTTATTTTACATATATTTTTTAATTAAAGACTTGGATATAAAATATTAATTAACGTATATTTGTTTCACAATGTGTTTGCTTCATATGTGCTCGGTTCACAATGTGAATCTTTTTGATGTGTTTGTGAAACACAAAATACACGTAAAAAATTTCACATATGAAACAAATACATATAAAACAAACACCATTGTGAAACAAATATACCTTAATCAATACATTAAATAGTATGTCTCGATAGAAAAAGTATCATATGAAATAAAACATGATGCATAAGATTTCAAGGTTATCACAATTTAATGGGTTCTCAAATGATTAAGCTCCCATATATATGTATACATTTGTTATTAATATGTTTAATTTCAATATTACTAATTAATTTAGTGATGATTTATCATAATTTTAATATTAAATACATTTTAATATTAAATACATTAATTTTGAATATCACAATATATTTATTATATTATTAAAAATACTATTTTTTTAACATTTAAATTTAAGATTTCTTATTGCTATGAATAATAGGAATTACAGGGGGTTTTTTTTAACATCTCCAACAGATTCTTCAAAACGAGAAAAATGAAGATTATGAACTAAAATTTAGCTCCAAAAGTATCTCAGAAATGGAGAAAGTAGTAAATAAAATATATTTTCCCTCTAAATATGGAGATTACCCCAAAAAATATTACCATGTATGACAGTATGAGAAATATTTTTTAATATATTTCTACCCATGAGAAACTTTGAAAATAATTATTTAGAGAAAAAAATAATATTTTAATAAATAAATAAAACATTTTAAATATTATAAATAATGTTGATTTTCTAAAATATGAAATCTGTTGGAGATGAATATAATTTATTTTTAGACATTTTAACTTTTAATTCTTCATTTTTGGTAAATTTGTTGGAGATGCTCTAAGTAATCATTTTTTCAATTTATTCAAATTTAAAGGATTTTATTCTCGTTCTCTTACTTTCTTTATTTTAGAGAAGGTTTCGAAAAATATATTAAAACAAAAATCTCTAAAATCTTTATTTTAAAATATTTATTGAAGATGCTTTTTAAAAAAAATCAATGTTTATTCAGCAAGAAAATAATACTTATTGAAGGTCGTGGCTGCAAATTATTTAGATTCCAGGCGATTCTTTATTTAATTACAAAAAAAAAACGCAAAAATCTGAGAGAATATCAGAATAAGATTTGACGTATGAAAAAGCTTATTTTTGGTGTAAATTAATAAAATATTTAATTAATAATATTATCTGATATTCGATTGTGTATACGAAATCGATTCGATGTTTTCTTTATGATAATTATATACGCCTGACTTGTATTTAATTATAATCCAAATTAAATTAAAAATATTTATTATTTTTATAAAATATTTAATTTTAACGATTTTTATTGGTAGAAATATTAACAAAAAAAATTCTTTTTCATAAATAATATTTTTTGAAGAGTTCTTTAATTTAAAGAATTTCATCTTTTTTATTTTACTTTCTCCACTTTTGGGTAAGATTTTAAAAATCTGTTACACATTCTCTAAAAAACAATTTATTTTTCTTTAATAAAAATCCATAGAATTAGATCAGTATTATTTGTTTTAAAACAATAAACAATCGGAAAAAAAGTAAATAAAAGGAAAAAAAAATTAGAACCACAACATTTTCAATGGATATTATGTACATGGTCGCAACAGATAAATCATTTATATATTTTAAAGAATCTATTTTTATAAATTTAATTTTAATGCTTACGATAACATTAATCGGTCTCACACAAAACCTGCTTTCAATGTAAAGAGATATTTTTCGGCTCACTCAAGGACTAAGGTTAACGAGTGACTCGTAATCGAACCCGAAACCTATATTGTATATAAAAAAAAATCACTACATCACTTTGTCAACTACGCTACATATGGTACTATTTCAAACAATTAAGTTCAATAAAGAAAAATCATACGCTGTTTTTCATTTCTGTAATTATAATATATTTTAATTATTCATAAAGTTATAATATATTAATTTTAATTCCATAAAAGATTTCTTTAAAATAAAATTTGTGGTATATATAATTTTTATTTTGAACTTTAAATCGAGTAACCTATAACTTTGGTCCATGTGGTTTACACGAATCTTTGAAAGTGGTCCTTAAACTTCAACAACTAAAATTACTGTCCTTATTATTTACATCTTGCTTTGAAAATCGTCCCAATTCACTAATTGCGTCAAAAATGGTCAGTTAAGGGGCATTTTGGTTTTTCACCTTTCTTACTATTTTTCTATTAACAAATTAAAATTAAATTAAACTATTTAAATTGTATATGTATGAATACACTCACATCGTCAGCAACCCTTACCCTCTCCCTCCTATCGTCGGCAACCCTCACCCTCTCCCTTTTCGTTCCCACTAAGCACCGTTGCACAACCTCCACATAACCACCACCACCTCCACCATCCCCTCCATGAATCACCCGTGAAGGGTTTTAGATTTATTGTTGAAGACAAAGAAACAGTCAAAGCACAACCGAAAGGTTGTCGATTTCTTATTGAAGACGAAGAAATAGTCAAAGCACAACCGAAGGGTCAATAATGTTTGAAGCCACCGATTTAAAGCACAGTCCTGATCCAAAGCATAGTCTTGGGTTTATGACTATATTGGATTTTTGTGGTTTTGCCAAAGGATGGTGAGGTAGGCACTCAATAAAGTCCGAGCATCAAATTTTGAGCTTTGGTTGCATTCCAAGTCTGGCGCCTCTCAACCTATAAGTCCAGTATCCCTCATCCCTGCGACTCCAGTGACCTCAACCCTAGCTCCCCAGATGAACGCTCCCCTCCTCGTTTTCTATTTATAAATTGAAACTTCCTCTCCCCTTGATTTAGTTTAGTTTAGGTTTTAGGGGTTGATTTAAAGAGATACTTAGGTTTGATTTTAGGATTTGAGTTTGTATATTTGATTTAGGGTTCTTGTTGTTCCATAATATTGGGAAAGAAGTTGTACGTGTGATTCTGGATATGAATTAGAAAACATGTGAGCACAATCGAACAACATTCTTGGTGCTTGTATTTTTTTTTTTTTGGTTTGGTAACCGTAACAATGGGTTAATCGGAAGGGATTTTGAGGTTCACCAGAGATGTTTAATCATGGGAAAGAAGACGAGGGTGGTGCACATGCTTACTTTAGAGAACTATTTAATAAAAAAGAAAAAGACTTAAAAAGACTGAAGCACCCTTTATTTAACAGACAATTTTAATGGAGTTAATGACCAGAGACGATTTTCAAAGTAAAATGTAAACAGTAAGGATGATAACTGTAGTTATTGAAGTTTAGGGACCACTTTCAAATATTCGTGTAAATCACAGGGACCAAAATTGTAGTTTACTCCTTTAAAAACATTCAAAAAGTTTCAGAAACCACGTAGACTAATAAAAGGTTGGTATCTGTTTCGTCTTTGGTTGGCTGGTGATTTGCTGGAGACGAATAAATAGAAAATATTGGTTCGCAAAGTCTCACTTCCAAAGAAGGAAGAAGAAGAAGGATGGATTCATCAATGGAGATCCATGTAACGGATATCCATGGCGAAACCCTAAACATGATATTCGTATGGTCAGTTGCTTTAGCATCCATCTTATTCTGCAACAAAATCAGCACCCTTATTGCACCAGGTACAGCACGATTATGCGTATTCCTCCCTGTTTTCGGCATCTTCTTCTACCTCCCTCTTCTCCTTACCTCTGTTCATTTCGCTGGTACAACCTCCTTCTTCATCTCCTGGCTTGCAAACTTCAAATTGCTTCTATTTGCCTTCGATAAAGGTCCCTTGTTCTCCAATCCACCTCTCCCTTGGTACCAGTTCATCCTCTCCGCTTGTGTACCAATCAAAATCTCCGAAAATGCGAACAAATCTGAAGATTCTCGACCTAATGGACGCCGATCTGAAGCTGGATCTCCGAAAAAAGCAATTAAATCACCCGTCAATTACTCCGTCAAGTTTATGGTGTTTGTTTTGTTGCTTAATCTCTATAATTACGCCGATAACTTTAATCCTCTGATCAAAATGGCTCTATTTTGTGTTCATATCTATGTGGTTCTAGATGTAGGCTTAGCCGTAGTTGCCTATCTGGCTCGAGCCATCGTTGGCTTCGAGCTCGAGCCCCAGTTCGATGAGCCGTATCTAGCTACATCTCTACAAGACTTTTGGGGAAAGAGATGGAATCTGATGGTCACGGGTGTACTACACCCTACGGTATACCTTCCCGTCCGATCACTTTCCGGCAGGTACTTATCGAAAAAAGTGGCCCCACTTCCGGCGGTAATGGCGTCGTTTATCGTCTCCGGTTTGATGCACGAATTAATATTTTATTACCTTGGTCGATTGAAACCCACGTGGGAAGTCACGTGGTTCTTCGTCCTCCACGGCGCGTTGGTGGGGTTGGAGGTGTTGGTCAAACGGGAGGTGAACGGAAGATTCCGGCTGCCGGCGGTGGTTTCCGGTCCGTTGGCGTTGGGTTTGGTGGTGGCGACGAGTTTTTGGTTATTCTTTCCGCCGTTCTTGCGGTGTGAAACGGAGCTCCGATCGTGTAAAGAGTTTGTGGCGTTTATGGACCTTTTTGTTCATGGTCGGTTTGTTGGTGCAAATGACGTTTCTTGCCCTTACTTCTGAAGAAGGAATGGAGGGTATAAAAGACATTTTAGGTGTACTTTATAATGTGCTACTATTTTAGTTTATTATTTAATCGATTTCTCTCTCTCTCTCTCTCTCTTTTTCTTTTAAAGAGTAAATTACGGATTTGGTCCCTGTAGTTTAATGGTTTTCATGAAAATGGTCCCTGAACATAATTTTTAACAGATTAACACTTGTTGTATGTCATTTTGTAACGAATTAGTTCCTCCATTAACCTTGAGGGCATTTGACTCCTTTTCCTTTATTTTTTGTCTTTACTCCAGGGACCAACTTCATAAAAACCACAAGGACCAAATCTATGATTAAATAAAAAAAATTAAAATTTTATATTTTGAGTTTATTAAATTAATTCATTATTATATTTTACTGTATATTAATTATTATAATTTAAATTTATTTAATATATAATGTTTTCTTCAAAAAAATATGTATTATATATGTATACACTTGCACTTACACACACACATACATACATATATAGTTATACATAGTCAAATTCAATCGTTCAAAAGAAGTCACCTCCATCAATCATTAGATTAATTGATTCAATAGGTGTTATCAAATGGATGTTTGTAACAATATTTTTTAGATTAAGAAAAATCTTACCACCCCAATTTTTTATTCAAAAAAAATGAAATATAAACAAAAATCAAGTGAAATAAATACACCACATTGATTTATTTTTTTCATCCGTTTTTTTTCCGGTTTTTCATTTATTTAACGTTTTCCTCTGAACTCAACTATCTCTCTCTCTCAACACAAAATAAACGAAAAATTGAAAACACGGAAAAATATGTGGGGTGAGGTTATTTTTAATTTGAAAAATATTGTTGTAAATGTTCATTTAATTTATATCTCTTGAATCAATTAATTTAATGATTAATAGATATTATTTTCTCTTAAAACCCACTATGTATATATGTTTTTTTTATTAACCTGGATATCCAACCCGCTATACGAGTCGACTAATCTCAAAGCGACCACCTGCTTTGCAGATAGCCCGGAGTCATCGCATTTGAACTTTCATGGCTACAAGGGGATTTTTATAACTTCTTGGATTTGAACATGTGACCTCCTGGTACTTTTGACTTTTGAAGTCAAGTTCAAACCAGTCAGGTATATATGTTTGTGTGTACATGCGTTTATGTGTGTGTGCATACGCACACGTACGTAATATATATTTTTTGAAAGAAAATATATTGTATATTATAATTGAACTTAAAGTATAATAAAAACATATATTAAAGTATGATAACTTTTGTAAAAATCACAAAACCACGAGGACTAAATTCGTAATTTACTCTTTTTTAAATCTCATTTCTAGCTTTAAATGTTAGTTCTAAAAAATGTTATGATAATGGATTTTTATTAAAAGCTTGATGGTTTATTTATTTTAAAAAAGATTCATATATTTAATTATTTAATAAAAAAAAGTTGAATAGTTTATTTATTTACAAAGAAGGTTTTGTGACTTAAGGTTAGTTTGTTAGTAGTTTAATGAGCTTTAATAAGCTTACAACTAATTCGGTCAGTTATACGTAACTGCTTGTTAGCAGCTTAATGATATAAAAAACGGTTTTCTTCAGTAAACTTCTACTACAAAAAATTTATGAAGAAAGTCAAGTTTTTTTTTTCTTCTCAAATTTGTCCATCCTCATTTAGAAAGCAATAATTCCATTTATGGAAAAACATTTTTGAACAAAATTCTTATCCTTTTATACAGACATATTTATCCATAGATGACTTAATGTAAAACTAATCGAACAACCCCTCAACATGCTTAAACATAATTTGAACCACCAGTTCCCACAGTAATCAGCCATTCAATAGTCTTATACCATCTCCAAAAGCTATGTTATTTTTTCCGTGAAAAGTTAAAATCTATAAAAAAAAATTATATCCAGTTTCAACAACTACTTCATTTTATTATTTCCAACATTAATATATTAAAATATTCTTATAAAAAATTAAAACATATTCAACCTTGTTCTCTCTTAACACACACAGTAGCATAGTAGTTGTTAACGACCATGTCACAATAAAATTGTTGGTCTATTATTAGAATGAAATTTCTAAAAATAGAGATTACAGTGAATGCATGACAACACCGTTCAGCTACATGTGTACGTAAGTCATGTCGGTATTTCCTTAGTTGCACGTTATTACTTCTGAGAAAAAGGTTACGTTTCTCTCAAACATTCTTATAAGACGATGACAGCAAATGAGGTTGCAAAGTCGTTATGGGATTGGATTTTGAAGTTACGTCTTTCCAAGTAAAGGTGTTTCACGACAAACACTTTTTTGTTATCCTCTGAAAACAACATTTATTAAATTCTCTTTACAAAGATGTAATTATAGTATGTGAATCATCTAACAAAATCTATAATTATTTTTAAGTATTAATTGTTTTTAAATTAAATCTGTAAGTTGTTGAAAATGGCTATTTTCATTTTTGTGGTTTCGAAATTACGGATTTCGTCTATACGGTTTACAATTCTATGCCCTTTTCATCCTTGTGGTTTACGGTTTTTGTTTTTTTTTTCCTCATGCTTAACAATAACCCACTGACGGGATTAATATTAAAGACAAAAAGTCAATAAATTACAAACCATATATATGAAAACAGTAATTTTCAAAACCGAGTAATAGAATCGTAATTTTTAACAAACCACGTAAACAAAAATCTCTTTCTCTAAGTTTTATTTAATTTAAATATATAAAAGAAAATTAGTGATTGCATGACCAATGGCATGCAATGTAATCTCCGACGACTATCTGTTTTGTGGGTAGTCTGGAGTCACCACATTTTAAACTCCGTGGTCACAATGAGATTTGTATTCTTTATTGGATTTGAACCTGAAATCTTCGGTCACTTTTGACCTCTGGAGCTCAAGCTCAAACCAATCAGACACCACTCTTATAGTTGGAAGTTTGTTTTTTTATGATCTCTCTATTTCATAACAAAATATTTGTCTTTCAAATAATTTATTTCACTCCTATTTTTATTAAAACAAGTAATTTCTTATTTCTTCGAAGTTGATATGTTGTTTTTCAAAAGTTTACAAAGAAAAAAAACATGTAAATGTGACCATTCAGTATATCTGATTTTGATCGATAGACTTTCTTATCTGATGAAATGAGTCATCGTATAAATGTTATTTCTTGTCTTGAGTCTTTATCTTCAAATGAAATCGTGATTCGCTTCCGAAACTGTTCTTCATGAATGATTTTGGGTGGCACATTTTTTGTTCCCTACAATCGGTTTCTTTAAGAACTAGGAACGATCAACTTGATTTTGAAAAGACTGATTTAAAACCAAAACTGACCCAACCTAAAAACGATTTTAGCCATCTCTAACCGACTCGATGATTGCGGCCCAATAAGAGATTGGACCATTTCTAATGATTTGAGGCCCAATATAAGATTGGCCCAACCCAAATACTGATCCCGTTTCCCCCCCATCATTTTGAGTAAATTACTCTTTTTATCCATGCGGTTTAGAAATTGTGGTTTTGAAGTTGTATTTTTCGTTCTTATGGTTTGCAATTCATTTCTGTTTTTGTCTCTAAGACTAATTACTACTCATAAATATGAGCGCCTGGAATAGAAATGAACTGTAAACCATATAAATGAAAAAGAGATAAAGTTAAATCATAATAATAAAAACAATAATAACATTATAAATCATGGAAATGAAAACTTTAATTTCATAACTATGAAGACGAAAATAGAAATTTTTGACAAAGCATAGGAACGAAAAACAAAATTTACTCCATCATTTTTTAGGGTAAATTGCATGAAAAAGTAACGTATTTTAACTTGATTCATATTTTGGGTAATATACTTTCAAAACATTTATTTTGATACTTAAGATGTAAAATTTTAAACATTTAAGTATCCGGGTAGCCAGTTGAAGCATTAACAGGTTAGATTAAGATATTCATGTTAGCAAATAATACTGAGTTTGATACCAAATCACTCATCACATCAGCATAGTAACCGGTTAATGCTTCAACCGGTTACCCGAATAATTAAATGTTTAAAACTTTATATCGTAAGTACCAAAATGAAAGTTATAAAAATACGTTATCCAAAATATGAATCAGTTTAAAATATGTTACTTTTTAATATAATTTGACTTTTTTAATATCTTTTTATTTAAATCCAAAAGATGACTCCTCGAATATGTCGTCATTAATGAGTTCCTTCGTGAAGGAGTCATGTAAGCCTCACATTAATTACTACAAGTCAAGAGACATTAATATATTGTTTCCAATTTTATATTTTCTAATAAAATTTGTTGAGTTGTCAATTTTTGGTTTGGAAAAATTATTACAATCACAAAAGTAAAAGTAAAAGTAAAAGTAAAAGTAAATTACATGATTGATTTCTATGGAATCACATAGTTCGTCCCTCATTAATATATTATATAGAGAGAGCGTGCCGTAAGGGTGATTTCATTTGTTGACTTAATATATGGTGTTAACTTTGTGAACAATTTTATCTATTAATCTTCGAAATTTGTAGCTAAGATCATTCATGACATAAAGTGTAAATAATTGCACGTATAGACAAAGTAATACAAGTGAACAATGTTTACAAAAGATATTTTGGGAACAAATTTAGTTGTCCATTAATGACAATGAGATGTTCTGTAACCATCCATTAATGACAATGCGATGTTTTGTAACTACCCATTAATAACAATGTAACTATCCGGGAATTAATCTCGTCACCGAATCAAACCAACAGCAAGATCCCCGACACCAGATTATGCTACAGTTATTTTTTGGTTAATGGTTCATGTGTGAACAAGTATTCGATATTTATGGGAATTGTTCATGTGTGAACACAGATGCATGTGAAAAGAAGTCGTAAAGATTTTTGTAACATCCATGTTCTATTTTAGTAAACAAATACAATATGAAGTCTCATTCATATATGAAATAAATGTAGAATAATACATGGTTCATCTATGAACAAACATCAAATTGTGCTTATGAACAATGCTTGTGTTTATTCCTGAACATTATTTAATTTTTTTTAAATAATTGATAATTTGTACATACTCAGTTGTTGTTACGTGTATGTGGTTATCAAGTTCACATATGAAAACAATATTTTTCTAAATGTTGAAACGAGATTGTTCACCTATGAATAAGTGTTTACTCAGGTATAATTAAGAAATGTAATCGACAATTAATTTATTTGGAATAATTAAGAAATGTAACCGACAATTAATTTCCATGGGATATTCACAATGGCTAGACATAAAAAAATTAAGAAACGTAACCAAAAATTAATTTGCATTAAAAGAAAGATTAAATAAAAATTACATTTTTACCCTTATTAAATAAATTTATTATGTGCATCAACCAAAAATGTATCTTGTTTTCTATTGGTTCATTGAGGTTTGTAAAATTAACATCATATATCGGGTTAATAAATGAACTCACCCCCCAAAAGAGTTATTTTCGTCAGTATCCCATAAAAGAAAACCCTTTAGAACAAGTTATTTGGAAACAATTTACTCCGGAACAGAATGAGGATAACGTATTGACAAGAATTTTAGAACATAAAAAAGCTATCATATCTCATTTAAGTTGGGCCAGCCTCTTTTTGAATTTTCATACCTTAGGACTTTATGTACGTAACGATGACGGTTTGTATTTATTTTTTTCACTTATGGTCACATGTTTTCAAAAAATAATCTTTTAATATATTAATAATTGTACTACTAAATATTTTATAGCTATTAAAATTCAAGAGTTTCTTTTCTACAATTTTATTTAAATATTTTGTAATATATCATAAACATATATGTTATATTTTCTCTTTTATTATAAATTTGAAGATTTCTTTTTTTTTTTCTTTTAATTTAAAAAAAAAGGTTAACATAGTTGTTGAAGATGTTTTTATATATTCAGTTAGGAATTGTTTGTTTACCTCATAATAGTTCCATTAAGAGGCAACCTCTGAATCGTTAAGAGGTGAATCTTGTTTGGCAAAAAAAAAAAACAAGTCTGACTCTTAATGGTTCTATAACCATCTGAATAATTTTGTATCCTGAACCTTCATTAACCATTCAGCGTTCTAAATTCATTGTAAACAATTATGCACTATATCATGAAAGACTTTTAATCATTCTACAACAAACCATTCAACAGCTGCTAAACAGCCCCTTAAAATAAAATAAAATCGCAGTTGATGTGAGAGAGATGTGTTAGCAACCCAAGGAAGACTAGCAAACCTCCAATGTATCCATTTAATGAAATTTATTGAAGCATTTATTTTAGTAATTCTTATTTTCTAATCTACACCTCTAAAATCCATACCAATCTCAATCCAAATCTCCAAAACTCTCACCAATTTTCAACCGTTAGATTTACTTTGACTAATAACCATAAATGTACTGGACCCACCCCACCAAATTTTGATATAAAACCGCCATAGTCGAGGTTATAGACTATAGTCAACATAGTAACATAACACTTCACTAGTCAATTCTTGAAGTGATGGAGGATGTGAACAAGAATCTATCGTTAAAAATGGTTATGTGCTTGGTACTATTGACATTGTGGACCATCGGTTCTCCTGCTCGAGCCTGCTTCACGAATGGTGGAAGTTGTAGAAACTGCATAGCGAACGCGATGAGGAGAGATTGTCCAAAGTGTGCACCGATCATGAGGTGCATGGCTCGATGCTTGTGGGCTAATACCCCCAAATTCAAGTGTGTGAAGCAATGCGATTGCAATACGGGTTCCTATCCCAGACTTGCCGATTGTAAGAGTTGCTTGTCTCATTGCAAATGCTCCTGTGCTATGTACTAGTGTGTTTTTTGGTTCGTCTTGAGTTTAGTTTGTAACGTATCTAACAATATATCTGAATAAACACCCTTTTGGATATGCTTCCACGAGTTGTATGATACAAAGACTACCAAGATGATTATGCGTCTTGTTGAAAAAGTGGTTATATTGTATCAGTGTATGCATAAATCACAAACAAAATAAATAATCTGACAATATGTTTTTGTAAATATATTGTTCTAAAACCAACTATTAAGCGTTAAAAATTATAGTTTTTATTTGACAATAAAATTAAATTCACGTGTCGATACCAAATCTCTTTTTTGGTTAAAATTACCCGCAACTATGTTATTATGGCCACCATTATATTTTATATAAATATTTCTACTACAGCTTTATTGATATAATATGAAACTATATTTTTCTCGTTAATTTTTGTTAAATGTTTTTTCACTTATTTTTTAAACATTATATATATATACACACACATAGACTTAGGATCACGTGAGACCAACTTATTTTTGTGAGACTCGTAAGACCACTTTTTTACATATGAACCTTCACAGTGTTAAGTACAAACTGTACCGCACTCTATTTCAGAGTACATTTTTTTACAGTTTGAAGCATATACAATGTGTTTTGCTGTTTCAGGACATGATTAAACCATATATACGGTGCGCTTTATGTGATGCCTATTCGACCTTAAACCGACACCAAATGGAATGATGTAATGAGCAACGTGAAAACTGCAAGTGAAAATTAGAACTTGCGGCACAATGTTAGCCGAAAACAAATCTCTTAACTCGAATATATATCCAACTGATTAAGCCATAAACGTAAAATTACTAAAATAGACACGGGTCGAGAGGAACACGGGACAAATCTTACTCATCTAAACACAACCACTATACAGGTGTAAACCACGAAGCAACTCTTTCTAAGCAAACCATGAAAACGGTCACGAGAAGTCCCGACATTTTAATACAATCGACTCTGGTGTACAATGTATCGTTGTTGTAGTCTTTAAGATTCACCAAACTGCCGATCCTGGATGATTTGTCCGAGGTTTGTGTATAATGCTCTTTGCTCCTCGTATGACAGATTCATTATAATCTGAAACAGTTAACGCGATCAGGATCTTTAATTCCGTTTAACCCATTTTTTCAATTCTTTTTTAACAAAAGATGGACATAACGTGGGACGCTTTGGTCAAACAGGTTTTTTTTAAATCCATGACATTATGACAGGTTTGAGAATGTGATTACTTAATAGACAAGAACGCCGAGAAACCTGTTTGAAGGTCGTGGATTTAAAAAGCACTTGATAACCCGTATAACCATACCTGGTCGAAGATCATCCCTACTGATACGCTTTGAGCCACAATGAACGACTGATGGTAGATGTATGCAAAGACGGCCATCACCATCTGCATGGATAAATCATGAGAATTGGAAGATGAGACAGATAAACGGGAGAAAGAGGCTACACAATAAGACATGGCTGAATGAAGATCATAGAAGTGACTCTGTGACTGTCCGGGTATTGAAAAGAAAATGCTTCTTTTGAGAAGACATCTCTCTAAGGGCCTGTTTGCTAGCAGCCTAATAAGCTTAATGGTACCGGCAGCTTATTCGGTCAGCTATACATGACTGTTTAGTAGTGGCTTAATGATACAAAAAGTGACTGATTCAGTAAGCTTCTACGGGGGAGCTTTATGCAGAAAACCAATCTTTTTTCCAAACCTGTCCCTCCCAATAAAAAACACGCTTATTTCATCCCTGAAAAAACCTTCCCAAACAAAAATCTTCCCGGTCTATACAGCCAGCTTTATCATACAGGATTGATGAAAAACCAACCAAACATCCCCTAAATCATGCTGATAACAACATGGACTTAATAATGTTGCCATCATCAGCTCCCTCCGCACCAAAAAATGTCCACAATGAAAAATGTGCATAGTTTAAGAGATGTATAATTATTACATTTTTTATCAACTAAATGACAACCTTACTCATGCTTGACTCGATTGCTATCTTATGGGTTTTCGTAGAAATAATCGCTCTACTCTTTGAGGTAGAGGTTAGGTTTGCGTCTATCCCAACCCGCAGACCCCACTAGGGGTGTTCGCGGTCCGGTTTGGCCGGTTTAACCTCTCAGACCACAAACCAAACCGTAATGGCGGTTTATAAAATTTTCAAACCGAGCGGTTTGACATCAAGTGTCCAGACCAGTCAAACCAGACCATGAAAAGGCGGTCTGGTCTGATCGGTTTAGGCGGTTTGGGTCTCTGATGGACTTTAAATGTTAAACTAAAAAAACATATATAATTTATAATTTTAGATTAAATATCCATTTTGATTATGTTAGATGTTAGACTTTATGTTGGGCTTAGGGATATATTTGAACTATAGTCCATAAGTTAAAAAAATTGGACTTGCTAATATTAAAATAAATAATTAAATATATATATATATATATATGGCGGTCGGTTTGGTCCAAACCGCCCAAAAAATGTTCCAAACCGCAGACCGAACTGAACAGCCCGGTTTTACTATTTTCCAAACCAAACCAAACCGCCAGACCGCTCAAACCGCCAAAAACGGTCCGGTCTGACTTGGTTCGGCCGGTTTGAGCGGTCCAACGGTTTTTTTGAACACCCCTAGACCCCACCTCCAAGTGGGATATACCGGTCTCATTTGGTTTGATTTGGTTTTTTGGGGGAAAGGGGTCGTATCTTCCACTGGGATTAAAGACACTTGAAACATATATATATATATATATATATATATATATATATATATATATATATATATATAAAACACATCAATTCTACGCTCAGGTTACACAGGATTCTAGCACTACAAATAAAACTAAATAAAAAGCCCAGGGCTTGTGCATCTCTTGCAGTGTTTGATTGGGCACACATAATTTAAGGGAAACACATTGGACTATTAGTCAATGTCTGCCATTCAATAATGACAAATTATGAGAATGTTGTGAACCCAAATTGATATCATAATTCCTATCGTAATGATGTCTATGACCAATTAAGCAACTTTTGTGTAAATGTTTGTTGAGAAAAGAAATATTGCAAATTTTCATGGGGAGATGGTATATAAAGAATGGCCACACACCTGACAATCCATTCTGTCTGTCATTCCACCGTGCCCAGGAATGCTATCCCCAAAATCCTACAGTAAATGACGATACGATAAAATAAGACCATGTGCAAATGTAGCATGAAATATAACGCTTAAAAAAATGTAGATTGGTTACCTTGATCTTGAAGGCTCTTTTAAACCCACTAGCAAAGAAGCCTCCAAAAGGTGCAATAATTGAAGCAAAAAGTCCAAGACCCAATGCATGCCATTGCACAGGCATAACTTCCATCTCTGTCCACGGAAACTGAAAAGGGAAAAGAATAAAAACCTTTACTATCATTATATGGATCATCTACCTCAATAAAGTTTATGCAAAATTGAATATAACCAAGGGGATGTTTGTTAGCAGCTTAATGACATTCACAGCTTATTCGTTCAGCTATACATGAATGTTTGGTAGTGGCTTAATGATATAGGAAGTGGCTTATTCAGTAAGCTTCTAGGGGAGCTTTATGTAGAAAGGCAAGTTTTTCCTGCACCTCCCTCTTCCAATTAAAAACACGATCCTTCCATCTATGAAAAACCCTTCCAAACAAAAATCCGCCCAATCTATACAGACAGATTAGACCACACTGACATCTTTATCCATACACGACTTCATGAAAAACCAACCAAACAGCCCCCGAGTGATATACAAGGGGTAAAACAATTATAATATGAGAAATCAAAGAGTTCTTTGGAGCTTCAAGCAGGAAATTTGATTAAATATTTATGCTATATCTACCAGAAACCAAGTTTATGCACGCCATCACAGTTAGAGCACCAAAATTGCTCGTCTTGTGCTGTTTGTATAAACATTTCTTAATTTCATTATATCATAGACTTCTGCATGCTTAAATTTTCAGTGGTGCATACACAACTTTTACCTTTTTAGATGGACACGAACTGACTGATACACCAAATACTTAAAACAAACTGCCAAAAAAACTGAGAGAAATCCAAGGGGCTGTTCGGTTCGTTTTCCATTAAGACCTGTGCGGATAAATATGTTTGTATTGATAAAGTTTCCCGTATATATAAGATAAATTGTTGTTCAGTTGTTGTGCTGGATATATAGCCTGAATGGCTGAAATGACCATTTTACACCTCAACAAATAACATTTGCACTTTTTGCAGCAAAGAACAAAGATTTCTTGAATATACAATTCCCTATTAATGACAACCTCCAATTACCTAATTCCGGCAATTACACAAAATAGTGTGTTCCTCCCTAATTCTAGCAATTAACCTCAATTATCCGATTCCCATTTGAAGGTCTCTTGAATCCACAATATAAGATAAAAAGCTTCAACAAAATCACAAAGTTTCCACCCTCGTATTTCTCTCTCTGTTCTTTTTCCCATTTTCCCCTAAATAAAAAATGGCTTAGCGAATAAGCTATACAGATTATTAAGCCCAATTAGCCAATACCAAACAGCCCCTAAATGTAGGATGGTAAGTTTGTGTAGATTCTTGGTGGTGATTAGCTTTTAACTTGCAACACATATCTAGATATAACATTTGATAACATGTATATTAAGCTAGCCGAACACAGGTATTTCTATATTAATTACCCATTCAGGAAGCCATCCAGGTAAAGTAAAGGTCTCTGGCGTAAACAGCGGGCCCGGGTCACATTGGAGCCAACCAGTTGATAGGTCCTGCAGGAGAATTCACAAAGTTAAAGTCTCAAAGAAATACAATTATACTTCTTAACACTAAAAAGACGATTTCTTAGCCAAACAGATTACCTTTCTAGGGCATGTAAACCACTGGAACCGACCAAAAAAATTAGCAAGCTGCAAAATGGCCAAGGGCACACAACTTGTTACCAAGATGTTGTCATATCATATTCATAGCATCCCAATGTCCAAAATTTATAAGCTTAAAACAGACGCGTTAGTTGAGTATATATAAGGTAACCCTTCACTAACAGTTTAGTCATAATGAAATAAGTTCCTAGAAACTATTTCCATGACTTTTCAGCAGTCAATTTAAGTAAAAGATCACATTCATGTGGATGGCACAAATTCAGAGGAGAGACTGCTCACCACGAAGGCAGATATAATTGTTGTAACTGATGCTCCGATAAATCCCTCCCAAGTCTTCTTTGGGGATAACTTGATCAATGGGGTTTTTCCAAAGAAGAAGCCAACAATGTAGGCAGCAATATCATTGATGACGATCAGTGATGCAGGCAGAAGGAACCTGTGTTACAGTTGGATTGCATTCAAACTTGTGCATGCCGACAATTTCTTCTTTTTGATTAGTAATCTAAAAATGTTTTTGGCCCCATCAAGTATGAATTCCCAAACATGCATGTTGCAAAAAGAATGTTATGCATAAGTAAGCCAATAAATTTAGATGGATACCACAGAAACTTGGCCTAAGCTCATAAAAGAACTCTCCTAAAGATGGATAAAAAAGGTCCTAAAATGCCTCTCGAAATGATTATACCAATTTTCATTTTGATCAGGAACTTGAAGCAACCTTCTATCATTTAGGGAGAGAAAAGTGCATACCTGGCACAATTAATGTGAAACAGGAATAGTTTAACTATACTAACAATGTAAAGCATAGAGCATTACCAGAAAATCCCTTCAAATATATTGGCTACTGTGAAAGAGGACTGCGTGAAAACCACAATAAGGATCATATGTGTCCATGCATATTGGCCAAACTGATATTTGTACATCTTTTTCTTTAGTGAGAGAATGAACCACACAAAACCTGAACCAATACAATAAAAGAGACTAGTTAATAATTCAAACTGCCAAGTTTTACTAGGTCACTGTGAAAATAATAGTTAAAGCAATTTTCACCAACCTGCTATATACAAGAAATAACAGGTAACCATGTGATATTTGATAAGGTTGCCCACAATTTTATACAAAAACTTGTCTGTTGTGACGGTATTGACAAGCCGCTGACTAAGAATGCGACCATATACAAATAGCATAGCTGTGAAGAAGAAGTGCCTGAAATGAACACATAAGAACAATAATTAGATCAATTTCCCCCTGACAGGTAACGAATCTGTCCTATAACAGAGGCCTATATAAAACCAAACTTGGAAGGAAAACTGGTTTTTGTCATTCAACTTTGGATATAGCAGGAGGACATACGAAGCTTTTCATTTGCTGACTGATAGTTAGACTTGGGATCATGTGAGACCAGCCTATTTTCGTGAGAGCCGTGAGTCCACCTAAATAACATTGAACCTTCACAACAAGACATTGTGAAGGTAAACCTTCACGGTGTTTTTGCTATGAAGGTTCGGTGTTTTTTGTACCTTCACAATGTTCTGCTGTGAAGATTCAGTGTCATTTTGTGGTCTCACGGGTCTCACGAAAATAGGCTGGTCTCAAGAGAACCCAACCCCTGATAGTTATATGCTCAAGTGATCAAATGGAAATAACCTATCGCTTCAATAACATTGGTATCAAGCATCAACTGGACGGAAAAACAAGGAAGGTGCCACAAATCCACAAAGAAGAGTATTTGTTGGGATCCCTATGCCTTATGGTGTTTATTTTGCAAGAACATATCAAACTTATTTAAACACTAGAATAGATCCTCCCATGGCTATTAATAGTATTTTTCAAAATTGCACCAGCCAACCTGCTACTTAGTTGTGCAAACATGCAAGGTAATGATAATCTTGAATGTTTAAAACTAGTAACAATGAATTAACTTTTTTAGCTGTATCAGTAGAGCATTCCGTCCAATACATTTGTCAAATAAAAATACGAGTTTTAGTTATTAGGAGTGAACCAAAGAAACTCCTGCCAAAAACAAAATCAGCATACTACTGTAGGGTCATTTTTCTTACCAATTTAAATGCCTAAATCCTGGTAGTTGTTTGTCTTCGTTTACTTTTCTTAGTAGACCGAACAGCTCTTTTGCCATGAAAATTTGTATAATGACAACCATGGCCCATATATAGAGATGCCCCATGTAGACAACAAATATAAAGCCGCCAATCATCCAAATACTTGAATAAGCACGAATCAACATTGACTTGTACTTATTTTGATCATTTACAAGCAAGTGGTTTCCATTCGCTTGGCCTACATCAGCTGGAACCTGGTATTTAACAGATAAAACTCAATGAGCCTATAATTCTCATATTAATTAAAATCCTTTTTTACTAAATTTTTTGAGGTGGAATGTCTTAGGGTATTGAGTCAATAGACTACTACGAAAGTTATATGGTTGTCCTCACAAACAGAGGACTAATGGAATCATCCATTATGGCAGGAGAACCTCGCATACGTATTACAAAATGTTGAGCAGTTGGAACTAAACCTCGGTCTCAAGTATGGATAACATTGAATGAAGAGATGATCAACGTGAAACTTAATGATTTGCTATGGATATTACAATTTTATGCGGTTGAGAGCCATAAATGAACTTGAAAACACGAGTTGCACCTTTTGGTTTAGAAAGTAGGACAGAAATAGATCTCCAGCTTCATCCCATGATGAAACTGGACAGGAAGACATTATCCCAATATGAAAACTCACTGATCCACAAATTTTTATAACTAAACTATCAAAAGTGTCGGGACGGAAGTCTTTGTGTATAGTCTCCCCCCCCCCCCCCTTGCATTTTGCAACGAAGTTGTTTCCATGTGCATATATTTCTCAATTTAGGATTTCAAAGACATTAGCTAGAAGTGTCAACATGCAGAGACTAAGGGTTTTCTTGGTAAGAATTGCGAGCAAGTAAATGTAATTATACCATCTATCAATAATAGTTGCATGCTTACCTCGTTTGAACCCTTACGGCGTCGAATCCGTCCGGTATGTGTAACTTGCACACTACTACCGTTCTCCTTTATCATGGTCCCACAACTACAATGTATACTTAATCAACAACAAACCTAAATAACATAATGCAAAAACCCACTGGTGAGATCAAAATACACACTGAAACACTCAATATATGTAATAACATAGTTCTTGCTACAATCTAGTATTGCCTAAAAAACTTATCATGATAATAACTCGATCACTGATATTATTACACAACAGTAAATAGATAAACCATTAGATTGGATGCAAGGACATTAGAATATTATGTTAAAGAAGAAAATAATAAGCTTATATTGCAAAGGGCAAACGGTGCAAAAAACTTGAATGAAATATAGTGAGCAGAAGCTCTCCCGATGACCAAGAAAATATTAAATGAGGACCAGAACTTACCTCCAAGTCATAAAACAAACTTAGCAAGACAGATATTTAACTGTTTAATACATATGTTACCAGGGTTTGAGACTGTTTTACAGTTGAGAAGGGACAAAGTATGGTGATCGATTACATTACCGGCATGATTGGAACAAAACATGTGATCATCATATTAAGAAGATGGCATATAAGTATTAACATCAAAGGAAAGAGCAACGGACTGAAGAAGGTCGCTTCCAACAACTTTGGTAAACTAAAGAGATCGCGTCCTCAACACTACAGGCATCATAATTATATATGCATAAGTTTAGCAGGGTGATAAGTAACAATCGTTTTGTCAAATGCAAATTCAGTTACTACAAGCCTTTTAGTTAATCCCCCCTAACCTTTTAAAATCTGTTGGGAACTTTGCATCTATGCTTATAAGTTATAACTATAACCAATCAAGAGCATTTGACATCATTATAAAACAATTCCTGAATTGCATTGATTCTGCTTATACGATACCCTCATGCTATTAGTGTACATCAAATCCCCTTTCAAAGAATTAAATTAACTTGTTAAGTTTGTCAAAGAAGGCATAATTAAAACCTTAGAAAGAGGCCAAAGTTGTTGGAATATAACCAAGTCAAAGTCAATATTCTTTCACATACCTTGATCAAGTGAGCATCTTTCAAAAACTGGAATTAACAGACAGAAAAGTATAACACCAGAACAAAACAAACACAAATGATTACCATCAAGTGACAAAGAGGTCTGTGGTTATCTTCAAGATCATGGGTGTATTAAGCATATCAATTTTGACTGATATAAAGAACCACATAGATATACTTACAGTTTATTTCTAGCATACAAAAGGGTCAACTCAGTTCTCAAAACTTGATACCATTTTTTTCAATACATACAAGCCCTAGTGTCCACTTCCATTCCAAGCATAATTCCCCACAACCTGAACCTCTAAAAACTTTACTAGAATGTTCTTTTCCGTATTTTCTACAATCCAGCAACATTAAGGGGCTGTTTGGTTGGTTTTTCACTAAATCTTGTATGGATAAAGTTGTGGTGTGGATTAATCTGTCTATATAAGTTGAAGGTTTTTATTTGGAGAGTCTTTTTATAGATTGAAGGATAAGCATGGACAAAACTTGGCTTTCTGCATATAATGTTTTCCATAAACTTACTGAATAAGTCACTTTCTATATTATTAAACCATTACCAAACAGTCATGTATAGCTGACCGAATAAGTTGTCTGTCCCATTAAGCTCGTTAATGCTAACAAACAAACCCTAAGTCATACTTAGATCACACAGAAACGAATCAAACTTAAACCCTAAGAGTCCAAATGGAGCTTCTTCAAACTAACTTCAAAGCTTTCAGAGTTCCAACGTTTCTGAATCATTTAGACATTACATAACCATAAACAGAACTATATTAAGCACTCAGTAAGAAATACAAACGGAAGACAAAAACTTCGATGATTCATGATCACGCTATTGAAGTCTTTGGTTACAAACGGTCATATGACTGAGTCTGTTTAGATTTGAATAAGTATTTTGAATTAGTCCTAGTTGTTCCTATTTCTTAGCTGATAGTTTGCTGTTCTGTTTCCTGTGTAAGCCTATAAAAAGGCAGCTTGATTTATTGAATAAAGTATCACATTTCAGAGTCAAATTGTGCGTATTATCACCTGGTTTTAACACACGCAGTATTGAAATCCAGACACGAAAACATAAATTATCGAATTAAATAAAATTAACGAATGAAACAAACCAGCAGTCAAATCTGAATCACTGTAAGCGAAATCAATCTTCAAACACTTTGCAGACTTAACACAGACCCTTGCGCACACATGTAGATATATATATATATATATATATACACACAGACATATGTGTATATATATATATATACATCTATACACATATATGATATATAATATTGTGCCCACTCCCAAAAAATAATTAACTTGTGCTCCTGAACATTTTGAAACTAATGAGAGAAAATACACTATCAGTCCAAAAGTTTAAACTAGTTTCATTTTGCACCCTAAAGTTTTGATTTCTTATTTGATGTCCATGAAGCAGTTGCACATTTGCATAGACACGTAAATCATCTAAAAACCGTTTAGAAGTTATAAGCTATAAAACCTCATTTCATATATATGAAACAATACATGTGAAAACCAATCCCGTAAAAATCATTCAATAAACTTGATTTTGAATTATGATTCATATCATATCACATGTTTTGTTCTTGTGTGCGAGTATGAGTATGTTTCATGTATAAACATATTTTTGTGTTTTTTTTCACAACCAAAACATTTCTTGACGTTTCATCTATGAAATAACAGTGCATGGTTATATGATGAAATAACACATACAAACTGCTTTTCACAGTTTCTAACTGTATCTATATGATTTACCCCATTTTGCATATTTTATTGGTTTTATATTTACATTTTTCATGTAATTTAAACGATATTACGATTTCCTGTTTTAGTGAAACGAAACTAATTTTATGTAACATCTCAAGTTAACCGTATCAGATATTGTCCGCTTTATCCACATACTTGGAATACGTCTGATAGACAAGATATCAAGTCTCTTATAAGAACATAATTTGGATCCCGTTCTCCAACTAATGTGGGATCTTACATTTTGCAATATTTTGTTTTCAAGTAAGATACGAAAAGTTAGAAAACGACGAAGATATAAAAAAGTATTTGTTGTTATTAAAGTCAAATAATTAATATGTGTTTGTATTCATAAAAATGTTTAGTTAATAGATTTTATTTTTTTCAACCTTTTAATTGTTAAAAACAAAAAACCAGAACCAAAATTGAAAGTAATGTAAAGAGATGATGATATCCATTCAGACACTTATTAAGCAGATCTGATGCGGAGCCAATTCAAGATTTCATATACGTTTTATTAGTCAATAGGAGAAAAAAAAAAGACAACCCAAATCAAAGTAAACCGTAATTTTATTTATTATTTGATTTTGTTAGATATTTTAAATATTTGACATTTTTTTTTGCATGAAGTACTGTTTATTGATGCATATTACTTGAGATTCAAAATTGCAAATAAATTATACGTAAAGTACAACTTATTAAAGTTTCATGTTTGAATTTGTGTAACTAACTGCAGATAAACATAATCAAATGCAAGATAAATATTTCATTTTAAATATAAAAAATCTAAAATATAATTAGGATAATCATTGAGTTCTAACAGAATACTTAATTATTATTTTTATAAGAAAATTATATTATTAAATCAAAAATAAATTATTTAATCATTAAACCTAAATTAAATTATAATAAAAAAATTGATTAAAGAAATTACATAAAAAATAAGAATTTTTAAACAGTTAATTTGATACTAAGATTGATATATTTATTTCAAAGATTTATGATATCTTCAAATTTTATTCAAAAATAAAAACATTATTCATTTCTCAAACCCACATAAAAACTGTATTATAACATCGACAGAGAATGAATAAAACGAAACATTAAAATCGAGATACATTTTGTTGCATTGTGCGAGCATACTTCTAGTATATACATTATTAAAATGAGTAAATGTTTATTTTAGTTTTTATATTATTATTTTGTTTTAACATCATCAAATAATCTATACTATATTATAAAACATTTGATAAAAACTCTTAAAAAACCATTTTTTATTCATGAATTACTGTTTATTGATACATTTACTTAAAATTCAAGATTACAAGTAAATTGTGTGTAAATACCACCTATTAAAACTCTATATTTGAATATGTATAACTAAATGCAGATAAACATAATTAAATACATGATAACCATCTAATTTTAGATATAAAAAATCTAAAATATAATTATTTTGATTATGACAACCATATAAAATATCTAAAATATAATTAGGATAATCATTTAGTTCTAAGTAAATATTTAATTATTATATTTATAACAAATTATATTATTAAATCAAAAATAAATTACTTCGTTATTAAATTATAAAAAAAATTGAATTAAAGAAATACACAAAAAACAATAAATTTTAAATAATTAATTTCATACTAAATATCAATATATTTTTTCAAATTTATATTTTATTCAAAAATAAAGCATTATTGCTTTCTCAAACCACATAAAACCATATTATAATATCGACAAAGAGACAATAAAATGAAACATTAAAATCGAAAATGTATCTCGCTACATCGTACGAGTACCCTTCTCGTATTTCAAAAAGGGTATTCCAATAACAACCTTTTAAATGCATACATATAAAAATAAGCATTTTTTTATTTTGTATTATCTTAAAAAAGAAATACAAATTTTTATTTCTTTTAAAGTTTTTAATCTTGATTTAATTCTATGAAGCTATAATTATCACTTCAAATAAATGATGTTGTTTTCAATCACAAGGGTGATATCTAATTGGTTTAATCTTGAGCTCCAAAGGTTAAAAGTGTTCGGAGGTCTTATGTTTGAATCCAATTAAAAATAAAAATATCTCTTTGTGGCCTTGGAGATTTAAATGCGATGACTCTAGGCTACCCGTTAAACGGATGGCCGTCTTGAGATTAGTCGGCTCGTATAACGGGTTGAATATTCAGATATAAAAAAGAATAATGTTGTCTTTGTTTTATAAGTTGTTTTGAGTTTTGTATTAAATATTGAAATTATTTTTATATGTAAAATGAAATTAATAAAAATGTGCTTCATATGATTAAATATTGAAGTAATATTGTTGAATCAAAATGTTAGTTAGGAGATAATAAGGTCAAATCATGTGTGCGTTTAAAGGAGAATACAACACCATGTGTGTAGGTGGGAAATAAAAGACAAATTGTCCTCTTTTTTTTTTAATTTTTACCCCCTTTAGTTTTTTAATTTTACAATTTTGGTCCATTAGTTTGTTTTAATTAAAAACATTCACTATTCTCGTCACACCATCCATCTCGTCAGGTTTCTTGTAGACTTTGAGAAACAGAATATGAAAAGATGGTAACTTTTGTTGTTTGATGCATCTCTAATAATAAACTTAACAAACACAGTACAAATCTGGTTCTGTTTGGACTCGTTCAAGACTGGTTTGGTGTCGATTTTCCAATCTGTTTTAGACTTGTTCAAGACTCGTTTGGTGTCGATTTTCACATCTGTTTTACGTTTGTTTAAGACTGGTTTTTTTTAGTTCAGTGCTCCTATGAAATTTGTTTCAATTATTGAATATACATAGCTACTATGAATTTTGACTATTGTTTGTTTTGTAATTTTTGTAGTGGTGGATCGAAATCACTTGGTTGTACTCGTTAACTTATTGAATATTTACATTCAAATGCTCGTGTATTTACAATCATTATATGATGTAAAGTAACATTAAACAACATTTAGGACAATCTGGTCATTTTAACAGTTCTGATTGTCATGTCCAACTTACCAAACGCATGACAGACAATTAGTCCAGTCATGTTCTAGTCATACCAAACGTAGGACAGACAATTATTATGTCCTAAATGAAATGGTATACAGATGTATTTTATGATATACGTATACACATCTATAAGAACAAGTGAACAACTTTGTATCTTTTTTCGTTGCTAATATTTAGAAAATCAAAAAGATCATGGAGTGTGAGTTTATTTAGGGTTTCAAATGCTTTTGCAATGGGCTCCATACAGAGTCCTTTCGGTCTTTTAGCCCTTTTTATCCGACTAATCCATTAACTGTCCAACATGATGGTGTATTCTTATTGGATATAAATCATGTCCCAAAGTCGGACGTCGCATTCTTGTTCTCATCAAATAAAGTTAAGAGACGTCAGGTTTTTATTTATTATAAATTTATTTAATCCATGTTCACTTTTTTCTCTCTAATTATACGTATTCATATGATTAACTAGTTGACATGAATGGGATGTGAAAATTTAGGATAAGTGACATTTATCCATTCCGATTGGCCCCATTCAGACACGAGAGAAAATGGCTTATTGAACCTTGATAAACTCAATAGAATGATAACGTTCTCTTTAATACATTTTGATTTTAAATATTTTATGAACCCACAAGTCCAGATATTTTCTCATGAAAGTTGACTAACAATTTGACCTAGTATCGAAAAACTATAGTCTTAGAGACTGTTTGGCAGTTGCTGAATGATTTAGTGCAGAATGATTAAGTGATCAGAATGATTAAAAGGCTATCATGATATAGTGCAAAATGAAATATAATTGTTCTGGAATTGTTTACAATGGAATCAGGGTGCTGAATAGTTAAGAGAAACCCAAAATACAAAAATCATTCACATGATTTTAGAACCATTAAGAGATAAACTTTTTTTTTACCAAACAAGAATCATCTCTTAACTGTTCAGAGGTTGTCTAATGAAACTATTAAGTAAACAAACAACCCCTTAATCCTTGAACTTAGATTCATTCAGGGACAATTGTACAAATCTTCTTGGCATATCATATTCAAGTACCATACCGTAACAACATTGGAAATAGATACAATATTTGCTCACGTTTTAGCAATCGATGAACCCTCTGTCGTGGTTCAATACATGCCCATTTTTTAATTCAAGATTTCATAATTGTTTCTTATCATTCATATTATTATCTAAATGTCGTTTTTATTTGAATGAACATATATTTTGATTTTGATTCTTCTTTCATTATCTTGACAAGTATAAAATCGGAAATCCGAAAAGTTATCAAAGTCGTTAGGATATGTTCTAAGTTTACTTCCGTACAAAGCAAGAGCCAAGATTAAGGTTGAGGAATACTAAGACAATCCTTAGATTCTTTGATTGAAACTAAGTAACAAGGAGTTTAAGGCTTTGTAATCATCATCATCGTTTTTGTTTTTACCGAGATTTAGAAATAAAAACTATGATAAAAAAGATCAGGAAAACAAACCATGATGATCTGTTCACATCGTCTTATTCTTATCTGTCGTCCTTTCTTTTCTTAGAATTCTGTTTTTATATATTTTATTTAGAAAAAAAATCCCATTGAGGAGAAATACTAACGAACAAATATATCAAAACTAAACTAAATAACCACATAATCATTAAAAAAAAGTGTATTCTTTTGTGAATCTTGATCTCATTTTTTACACGTATTTTTTATTGTTGGCAATCAACGTGAGAATGTCATATAAATTCATGATGTACGTACATACATATGAATTTTTTTTACGTAGTTATATCTATCTATCTATCTATCTATATATATATATATATATATATATACACAATTACATTAAGAAGTTTAATTAGTCGATAAATGAAAATAAATTCATTACTTATAAACTATCAGACGCATACTTATTCAAAAAAATGTAATCAATATTGATCATTTGATATAATTTAAGAACTAGTTTTATCACAGTGCAAAGTCATGCATCTCGATTCTGAACTCAAGAAACTCGAACTCTCGATCATAGTTCTTTCTATTTTCTTCGGTTTTATTTTTATAATTTTGTGTCGTCTTAACTTACGAACTGACTAGTATATCAATCTAAAGTTAATATAGTCGATTGGTCAGGGATTTGGAAAGATAATCCAGCATAGCAGTAGACCCACTGTTTATCTTGTATTTAAACATACATATTAGTTAGTTTTATGGAGTTCAAGTATATCATAAAGTTTAAGAAGTTATACGTATAAAATAATAAATAATAACTTCAATATATATATACATCATTCCTCATATTTTAGTCACAAAGAATCAAGAAACACATTATCAAGAAACCATTGCATACCCATTAATGGGTGCAAGTCTTTGTTGCATGAAACCATCACAACCACCACAAAACCCTACAAAAAGAAGAGGTTCTACCATTAATGTCATAATCAAATCGCCCGAAAGGGTCGCCATTCGAACGAGAAAAAGAGTATATGAAGCCGAAGAAGAAGAAGAAGAAGAAGAAGAAGAAGAAGAAGAAGAAGAAGAAGAAGAAGAAGAAGAAGAAGAAGAAGAAGAAGAAGAAGAAGAA